AATGGCCTAGCTTGTTGCCAATTTCTTTACAATCTCTCCCTTTTTGAAGATTCATGACAAAACAACCAAAGCAAGCAAACAATACATAGCAAATTGAAACCTATCTATTGGATGCAATGCAATAGCAAGATCATATTATGCTAACTGAAATATGCATGATACCAAATGAAAAAAAACTTACCTTGCTCTTACCACTTATTATTGTTCCCTTATATGTGGCATTGTCGAGTTAAGCCTCCCCTAACTCAAAAATATGAAAAGTTTTGATTTGGTGATTTTTGTAATTATTATCGGTTGGGCTTGCTTTAGTCCACAAATTCTCGCCCTTTGGAATCAAACACCAAAACAGAAGACATTAGTAGCACAAGTGAGGTTAAATATTGTGATCATTTGGATTGGAGTGGAATAGATCACAATACTTGACTCTCACATTATATAGACAAAGCTCCCCCTAAGTGTATGCATACATATGGTGGAAAGCAAAGCATATGCATAACCTAGCAATTAAATAACAAAGGGAGTTTAATCTATAAAATGCATAGAGAAAGTATACAAAAGGATACCAATTGAAAGACATGAATTGATACCAATTTGAAGATTGATACCAACTGTAGAATTCCAATGAGGTATATACCACTGGAACGATATGAAGATTGAACTCAATACTTATCTCTGGGGAATTCATTTTATAGTTTTAGGGGCATGTTTCTATGAAGTGTACCCAAGTATAAAAAACACAAACTTGGGCATAGAAATTTTGTAGTTGTTCTCTTATACTCAGAACATTGAATTCAACTGGTTCTTCTACATGGAGTGCTAAGGTGTAAAAACCAAGTATACGCAAGAGTAAAAATCAAAAGAACCTATGTTGGTAGCAATTGACATAAAAACTTATACTAGTAATAGTAGATTTCTTCATTGATGGGCATAGAAACCTTGTGGGTAACCGACTTTGTAAAAGTTGTGACTATAAAGATGTCATTTCTAAAGTATAAAAACATCCAGTTATGCAAGTATAAACCCCACGTTGTGTGATCATAGAAAAATTAAACCTAATATTCCTATAATTGCGTGGTTAGGTTATTATACATGATATAAATCTATACTTTTCTAATGATTAGATTAAAAAATCAAACCACAAAAAAACCTTAGACATAAAAAGAACGACGTAGTATTTTCTTTGCTCGCATTTGTGGAATTCTATACTCTAAAACACTTCATAGATATCTATCTCCAAAAGTGTAAATTTATGAGTTTAAAATTTTCAATAAAATATATTCAAAATGGATGTCAAATTTTGCACATAAATGTTAGCAATGTATTGCAGAAAACCACTTTTGAAATTAGTAAATCGTACTTAGTAAAATATTTCCATACTACAGAATAAATATTTTGACAAAATAATTTTTTTATGCTCTCTAGATTCTCCTAGGAATAAACCACATGAGAATGTATATTTAAGTAATCATGTGAATGCAGATGTTGTTTCTCTTCTGCCCGAGTATCTCAAGAAGTTCTACCTCAGGATAATATTCAGCTTTAAAGAGATTCAGGATGCGTTGGAACCTAATGAAAAGTACAAAGCTTCATATGCCAAAAAATCGGTATCACGTCAAAATATATGAGAAGATGGGTTTTTCATTTCCATTAGTTTGTACTCCCTCGGTCCCATAATCATAAGCACATTTTGTAAGGGGAAAAGTCCAATTTTACAAACTTTAACCAATAGTTAGTCAAATTATATACAAATTTATTATATAAACTTGCATCAATAGATTTGTACTCAAAGTGATACTGTTTTTTTAGCAAAATACAATATATTGTAAGAGAAAGTAAGGTTCAAAATCTTTTTGTTTGACCTTTCCCTATGCAAAATATGATTATCATTCTGAGACATGGGGTATTAAATAATATGTTTATGATACAATCATTTGTTTCATGCATAATGTAATTATCTTAATAAATTTCCATTCAAATAGCATAGAAATTAGTTTGAAATGTTAATTAACATAAAACATCATTGATCTAAATATTTGTGTTACATGCAAATAGAATTATTCTTCAGGAACAATGTTTGTTTATGAAATTTTCAGGAACAATATTAGTGCAACACAAGTAAGTTGAAATAGGTTGTCTTAATTTTGGATTATTTCCATCTCAATAATCCCATTTTTACTGAATATTCAGTTTAGTGACATTCAAAATGTGTTCTCAAATGCAAAAAAAATATTTGTGTTGCACATATTTTAAAGGCTGAAGGACCAAAGGTTGTCCATACTCTCCTCTAGCATATTCCTTATATACACAGCTCAAGGTTTCTAAGGTCAAAGAGAAATACTATTCTATTCAAAGCCATCAGATCTGTACATTTATGATTTTCGGCAAAATCAAGTTTGCCAGAGTAACACTAAGAATTTGTTCCTTATATAGCTAGATGTAAAATTCTTGCAAGTACATGCTCCTTAGATATATGAATGCATTTTTGCACAGGCCACTGAACAAACGTGATCAGTCAGAACCATATGAATAGATTTGTTAGATGACACGTACATGTCTTTGCTAGCCCTGAAGTGCAAGATAATTTAAACATTCAAATATAATAGGTTGCACCAATTTTGGAATCTTATCATGTTCACATAATTCACAAAATCACGTGAATTCGTGAAGTTTTTATTTTTTTTTTAAATGTTGAACTTGATGGTGTCGGTTTTCCTCTTATGAAAACATAATTAGAAATTCATTTTACATCTCATGTTTCAAATGAAATATTGCAAGGGGATCCTCTGTATTTTATTGTGTTATTTTTATCAGAACTAGATTTGTTTCTTTCTTCTGTGCAGTTTCAAACATTATCAAAGTTCTATCTTCAAGGCGCAGAATGGTTCCATCACAATTATATGCCAACATTCAAAGAAAAAATAGAAGTTTCTCTCATGGACTCCGGTAGTCCGTTCTCAGTTGTTGCTCTACTGGTTGGCATGGGTGATACAGTGAATAAGGAAGCGCTGGACTGGGCAATTGGTTGCACTGATGCTGTGAAAGCCTGTGGGGAGCTCACTCGTTACATGAATGACATCTCTGCATTACAAGTAGAGCCTAAAGTTTAAAATTGCCTACACCTTTTAACCATGGTTACATGACGATACTCACAAGGACATGTGTCATTTGCAGCATGGTAACAGGAAACAGGATGCTCCAAACTGTGTGCAGTGCTACATTGCTGAGTATAATGTTACAAGCGAGGTAGCCATTGCCAATATAAGTCAGATGATGGAAGATGCTTGGAAAACTAAAAAAAAACTCGACCGGGGGTTAAGACTGCCCCGCAGCATTACAAATAAGAAGAAGGATTTTCTCATCTGGTCGAGAAAACCCCCAAACCTCCGCCCCCCAGTGCTTTGGTTATGGGAACGGACGAGGGGATTTTTTTAATCTCAGCCTGAAATTCACTCCCACGGAGAGTCGAACTCAGGATCTAAGGAGTGCCGTCGGGTCACCTAACCGTTTGAGCTAGGCACCCTTTGACAACTTGGAAACCTGCTTGAAAAACTACAAACAATGCACTCTTAGAACTTCGTACGTTACATGAGGTGGTAAGACGAGTTGTCAACATGACAGTATGCTTGACACTAATATACGGTAAAAAGAAGGATGTGTTTACATTTGGCGACGACCTTGATGAGGTTATTAAACAAGTGTTCGCCAATCCTATATCCATTTGAATAGAAAAGCAACTGCTTCATGTTGTAATTAATTTGTATCATTTTCATTGAGCCCACAAGTTTTACAATCACTAGTAATGCTGAAGACGCATCGATGTATGTCACAGTCATTGAGCCGTGTTAGTTGGTCAAAGTAATGATTGTCAAAAATATTCTTTGCTTTCCTAAATAAGCAAACTATTTATGATAATAAGAATGAAGGGTTTTATATTTTATAAATTTGAATGTTGTAAAATTATCCTCAATAGATATTTATCATTTGTAGCAACCATGTTTACATAATTAGCACAAAGGTGTAACATAATGTTATCAATATATATAGAATGACATAAAGTGATGTTGGCTTCATTTGAATAACATATGAATTAATGTTCAAATATGGGAAAATGCACTACACACGAGGTTCCACAGATAATCAATCTTTTCTACGGAGGACTAGGAAACATATACATAAACCGATCGAGATCCTTATAACCTCTACCCTCTGGACTATATAAGGAGAAATAAGGTACCCGGATCAGTACCTTCAATACTCATAGTCTACATTGCATAGGCAACTAGTCATCAGAGCCCCTTGTAAACTCGAGTATACGAGATAAGAGAGATATTCTCAACTGGATGTAGGGTACTCCATACCTGAAACAGTATAAACATGTGTCCCATATGCTATCCTTTTGATTTTCTGTGCGTGATATGTTTCTGCATTGCTGGAGCCGATACCTTCGACATGACTGAAGGTAAGGTGGTGGGGAGCAATCGAATCCTCGGGGTCGGCCGACCCCCCCCCCCACGTACCTATGGGCCTCCCACTTTTGTTATAGAGTTTGGTCGCATGTCAGGAGGTGTTTTATGTCAGTAGGTTCACATGGGCCTTGTTTAGATCACCTTCAAATTCTAAGTTTTTTTACTCTCTCCATCACATCAATTTTTGGACACATGCATGGAGCATTAAATGTTGGTAAAAAAATAATTAATTACACAGTTTAGTTGTAAATCATGAGACGAATTTTTTGAGCCTAGTTAGTCCATGATCGGACAAAGTTTGTCAAATACAAACGAAACGTGCTACAGTGTCCAGGTTGCAAAAATTTGCAATCTAAACAAGGCCATAGTTGTGTGAGATGTTGATCATGTGGGCCCAGCCTGATCCTCGTGGGATGTCCATCTGTCGTTGAGAGAAAACACATAATGCATCCCGGCCGTTCCTTCCTACGGATTTCATCCCGGCCGTTCCTTGGCATCCTTATCCTCTCCCCTTCCCGTCTCCCCGACCCGACGCTACCCGGCACTTCTCCTCCCACCTCCGTCTCTCCCACCCCGCAGAACGCCGCAGCTGCCTCCGGCGCCGCCGCCGGCGACGACGCGCCGCCACCGCCCTCCACGACCCCTTCTCCCTCCCCGACGTCGCGCCGCCGCCGCTTCGACCGACGTCGCGCCGCCGCCGCGGACGCCGCGATGCTGCAGCTCCACCCTGTCGGCCTCCACTTGATGAGGCGCTCCGCCTCTACTAGCGACGGCGCTCCACCCTCTTCCCGGCTCTGCCGGCCCGACGTTGCGCCGCGGCAGCACGTGTGCCCCAGCCTGGCCAAACCCTAGCGGCGCATCACGTCTGCGCCGCACTCCCCTGCCGCCTCCAGCCAACGCCGTCGCTGTCCACTTCACGTCCATCGCCGCCACGCCAGATGTCCCAGGGTACGGACCTCCTTCATTTTCGCCTGCCCTGCCCCTGCTCAAATCGATTCTATTCTGATGAATCCTCAAGCTCTGGTCTTCTCGCTACGGCCACCACGGGTTCCATTTACCTGCTATGGACACCTCGCAAAGCAAGAGGTCTAATACATCCATGTACACAAATCTATTGTCTGATGTGTTTACTCCTACACATTGATGCCTTCTAGGTGTTTGCTGAAATGCCGAGGTGAATATAAAAGAGTAAAGACATTGACTTGGTGCACGATGCACCCCGGCAAAAAAGTCATTGGGTTGTAATCTCTTCCAAATTTTATAGTGCCTTCTTTCCAACATGCATTTGGGATATATATATATATATATATGTGTGTGTGTGTGTGTGTGTGTGTGTGTGTGTGTGTGTGTGTGTGTCATCTGTTCATGCACCAGCCCTTCAACCATCTATGTTTTTGTACAGGTGGCACGAAAATAATCTAATGGCGTATTCCAGTTCTTTTCTTCGGTGTTGCCATGCACAAACCTAACCTGAAGAGCCTGCACAGATAGTTGGGTCACCACAAATGAAGGTAAAATGATTCCTTCTCTTGCTCCCATCTCAAACTGCCACTACCCAATCCTTTACAATGATCAGTAGCCGACAATCCAGAACATTTACCATGTTACCTTACCGATTCTACATGTGTTGCCAATGCAGGTACCTTTCCCATCGCTATTTACATGCACTCATTACCTACATGCTGCTCTCTTGCGGACAATTGTTGCAGAACTGATCTCAGGAAATGAGATTGTACAGGTGCTGAAATGATAGCATAAAGGTGGTGTTGTCTTTATTGACGGTTCCATTTCCAGTTATGCAGAAAACATGCCATCTTTAACAGCCCGGGAGGCCTTTGGAAATTATTGGCTGGTTTGGTGTGAGAGAAAACATCACTCTGCAACATCGGAAAAATGTCATCTCACTCTGCAACAGGAAAATGTCATCTCGTGTGTCTCACTGATGATTTTCTTGCCTTCTCAGTACCTACCACTTTCATATGCAGAGAAGTCGTGGAAATATCTTATTTGCATGACCATTATAGGATTGGTAAAATAGATAGGTGATTAAAGTATCTGTCCTGGCCTTCCTGTTGCCACAGTTTCAAAAGGAATCAATTAGCCCTTACACACTTTGGGTGGTTTCCTCATTACTTTGCTTAGCCTTCCTGTTGCCACAGTTTGAAAAGGAATCAATTAGCCCTTACATATTTTGGGTGCTTTCCTCATTACTTTGCTTACTATCTCTTTGATTTTTCAGGCTGCAGATTAATTTGGGAATACATACCAGGATGCTGCACTGAATGGATCCACTGAAAAGCTCTACAAACTGAGTGGTAATCATTCTTCATGCTTCAATCGATGTAGTATTGCACCTGCTTCCAGCTTGGGTTTTCCAACGATAATCACAGTGACATGCTTCCTCATGTCCATGACTCCACATTTTCTTTTACATACATATTAGAGTTAGGCGGTTTTTAACTTCCCTAGGTTTATTCAACCAGCTCCATGTTTGTGTTAACAAGGAGCCAGTATCCACGAAAACCTTAATAGGAAACGACATGTGACCTTACTTAAAAATGTTTTGATGCATTTCTCAGTTTTTGTTCCATCAATGGACCATTTGAAACAAATCAGGATTTTAACCATTATATATGTATTGGTTCTCTATTTTAAAATCTCCCGTCTTAATATGCGAGCGATGCTTACAGTTACTGTCCTTACAATGTGTTCCATATTATGTTTTGGACAGGTTGGGAATTCTACAATCATGGTACTAAAATTGAGATCGTCTTCAATCGCCATCAGGTTTTTCCAAATTGTAGCAGCACACCAGACATATAGTTGCAAAGGTAATTCACATTGCATTCATCCTTGCCTTGCACCCATCATGGCGACCGATCTCATCCTTCCCAAGAAACTTCAGGTGCTTAATGCCATATCCATCTCTCAGTCTACCCATTTTCCCTTATCTCCATGTATGCTTATATTATATCTCCCCTATCTCCATGTAGCCTGAGAGTTCAAGATGTCAGAGGCCATCGGGCACACAAGAGGTCATGGTAAATGCTATCTCTTTGTTCTGTGTCCTTAAATCACCTACTGAACAATTTACTCTTCTAATTAGTCTACATGTACATCCAA